TTGGAACCATGACATGGTGTAAGGAAACCATGACGGAGCACATTGGAGGATGGGTTCTTGAGCCACTTTTCGGCTCCATTTTGGCTCAACGGCCCATCCAGGTACCTCCCCCTTTGTGTTTTGGGCCATGTACTTGGAGGGTTTCCTGCTGGCCTCTTTCACTTTGGGGCTGGTGTGTGGTGGCCTGTTGGTTTGGGTCCTGGTGCGGCCAAAGGTGGCGGCAGGTGGCTTGACGCCTCATTTGTTGGGGCCGCAGGATTTCGCAGGATTGAACTATGGCAGCACGAAGTCTCTTGCCCACAGACACGGAGCTCGCCACCTTCGATCACATTGATCGGGTTGTGCATTGGGTCGGTCTTGAGCGTGGTGTGTGGGATGCCTTTGATGCCACCTTGGGCGGTCGTACGACCCTTCGTTTGATTGCCACACTGCCTATTGGTACCTTGCATACAGCCACCTCGCGCACTCGAATTCCTGCTACTGCGACCTTGCCTGAACGTGAACTGTATGCAGTAGAGATCATTCAGGTTGCATTGGTTTGGCGTGCTGCGAGGAAGGTCTTTGGACTCCCTGATGTAGATCCTTTAGTGGAAGATCCCACAGTGGCAAGACCGGTCACGTCGAACACTGAGGCACCTACAGCCAAGAAGGTGAAAATGTCATCCGCCGTTGATCAACTGGATGAAACTGAGGTGTCTCTCCTGTCGACAGCAGATGTTGACCAGGCATACAGAAATTACCGTGAAGCAGTAGGTGCTGATCCTTTGCCTGAGTCCGATCCGACCGTTGAGCAGATAACGGCGATGCATGCAAAAGTTCTGGTCAGGCAGGAAGCTCCATACGCCGACTTTTCGGTCCTCACGCCATATGGCCGCAGGATGCAGAAGCAGTCGAAGGCTCGTAATTTCCTGCTCCAGCAGGACGGTTCTTGGAAATCTGTTGAGATACCTGGACCGCCAAGTTTCCAAGCTTGGTGTGCCTGCTGGAAGATTTACAAGACTGTCCTGCTAATGCTGAAGCACCCGGAGAACACAGCATTGGGCAGGCCTTCGATTCCAGTCACGACAGTTGCTGCACTGGAGGAGTACTTCAACAGAGTGTCAGATCTGCATGAAGAATTCCCGGAGGCATGGCACTTAGTCATGCAGGCTGAAGATCGATGCCGAGGAGAGCAATTTGACCGGATCCACCGAGAGCTGACTCGGGCCAGGGCGGAAGGTCGGTTGCCTATGAGCCTGGATTTCGATCCTTTCAGACCTTGGGTTGGGGTCATGCAGTACGCGGCTCGCTGCCAGGAATACTGGGACAGAACAGTGATCAGGCCCGCACAAACATTCTTGGCCAGAGGTGGAGCTTCGTCGGCTAGTGGACGGCAGATGACGCAGAAGGAGGCAGAGGAGTCGCAGGTCAGTGATGCTGCGTCCGCGGCCATGCATAGAGCCCCAGGTGAAGGAACTTCGAAGACTGCCAAGAGGCGCCAGAGGGACAAAGCCAAGATTGAAAGGTTGCAAGAGGACAATCGCCGTCAGAAGTATGGCAATCCGCCATGGTTGCAGAGCACTGGAAAAGGAGGCTCAGGTTCGGCATCGGGTGGAGACGGTGATGGTCATCCCAGGAGAGCAGGTCGAGAGTTCCAGACTGATCGTGAAGGAAATCAGATCTGCTTCACCTTTGCGAAAGGACCAGTCGGATCTTGCAGTGAGCCTTGTCCACAACAGAGGACGCATTGCTGCCAGTTTTGCCTTGGCTCCCATCCAAACGCCCAATGCCAGCAGAAGGGCGGTGGAAAGGGGAAGGGCAAGAAGGGCAACAAGAAGTGACAGAAGGATGATCCCCTGCCTGTGCAAGAAGCTGGAGCGGGGGAAGATGCATGGATGAATTTGGAGCCAATGGAACATGAATTTGATTTGAGCCAGGTACAGCGCCCATTTAGATTTGGCGAGTTCTTCGCTGGCTTTGCAGGTTTCACAAGAACGCTTGAGGAGCTAGGTGGTACTTTAGTCGAGACGACGAATCCACAAGACCACTACGAAGGATGGGACATCCTCACAGACGAGGGCTTAGAGCAAGGCTTGTCGGTGTGTGAGACTCTGGACCACGGCCACTTTGCCCCTCCTTGCAAGACGTTCACCAAGGCCAGACGCTCTGACAAGTTTGGAGTGGTGAAGGTCTTGAGGTCGGAGGCATACCCAGAAGGCTGGGGGGAACCCGAGGCGGAAGAGGCCAACCGCATTGTGGCTAGAATGGTGCAGATGATTTTGGTCCTGGTCAGACGGGGCAGAACTTTCGCCATTGAGAACCCATGGCATTCCTTTTTATGGTCGCTCAGGGCTATGGCTGTTCTGTTCAAGATGGCTGGAGTTGAGCTGGTCTTGTTGCATCAATGTGCATACGGTGCAGTCACACAGAAAGCCACTGGGATACTCACCAATGCAGCTTGGATGAAGAAGGTATGTGCCTGCTGTCATCAGGTGCGGGAACACTACCATCTGAAAGGTGGCTTAGTTGGTCTGGTTTGGTCGTATGCTGACCAGCAGATGGTCTGGCGTACGTCCCTTGCAGCGGAGTATCCTTGTGGCCTGACCGTAGCTTGGTCGAAGGAGTTGTTGAAGTGGCTGCACAGTCCTGAAGGATTGCAGTGGATGAAGTCACGAAGCTACGTCCTGGTTGGAAAGTGGCAGAACACATTGGTGCTCGCTGGAGCTGTCGCTAAGAAAGCCAAGAAGGCGAGCAGCCAGAGGAGTGAGACGCTGCTTGAGAGAAGAGAAAGGGAGAACAATGAAGCAATTGGAGGATTGCGGAACTCGAAGAGGGCTGTCGCTCGGTCAACAAGGCTGCGCAATGTGGGTGAGCGGTTGCGGCTGGTTGTCGACCGCTGGATCAGTGCTGAGTTGGTGCAACAGTTAGAGCAGGACTTGAGTGCTGGCATTACTAAGGAGCAGGTGTGGCAGCTGAGGCAGAGTTTGGCGGCTGAGTTCAAAGTAGACAGCGAAGCAGACGGGTGGCCTGTCGCTCTTTGGGAGGCTATCCTTTGTGAAGCTGCCGACCCGGAGATGCGGATCCTACCACGGTGGATGAGGGAAGGCTTTCCTTTGGGGATCATGACGCACATTGAGCATAGCAATGTTTTCCCCCAGACGCATGAAGACACAGCCGCCGTGGAAGCGTCCAGGCTAGAGGGTGAGGTCCTTCAGGACTACGTGGAGGACATCGTGAACTACAAGAGCTTCTTGGATGAATCGAGCAAAGCGCAAGAGCTCTTGGACCACATGGTCGAGAAAGATCGAGCTGAGGTTTTCACCACTTGGCAGGAAGTGGTGGAGAGGTTTGGCCAAGGGGCCAGACTAACCAAGGCGGGCTGCCTGGTAAAGACCAAAGAAGACGGCACAGTCAAGGCAAGGTTGATTTTTGATGGAAGGCGGTCAGGAGTCAATGGACTGATAGTCTGCAGAGAGAGGGTCAACTTGCCGAGAATCAGCGATGTGGTCACAGGCATGAAGCAGCTGTTGAGCAACAACCAGTCCGCTGCAGAGTCAGGGCAGGTATACATTGAGATGTTTGCACTGGACTTCAAGGATGCTTTCAACTTGCTACAGCTGAGAGAGGATGAGCGAGGCTTTGTAGTTATGAAAGGGCTCAACGATGAATGGGGGCGTCCACGGTACTATGTCAGTAAGTGCATTGTTTTTGGAGTGGCTACTGGACCTCTCATTTGGTCTAGATTGGCGGCTGCAGCCATGAGGGTGACGCAAGCAGCCCTCCTGTCGTACGAGACGGATGTCAACTGCTATATCGATGACCCGCTGGTGATGTCCGTAGCTGCTTCACACCAGGAGCATACCCGACACTTGTTGGTGTATGTAGGGCTGTGGACGGCCTTGGGACTCGAGATCTCGTGGCACAAAGTGGTGAGAGGCCGGAGCTTGAACTGGATTGGGTTCAGTCTTGAACTTTGTGGCCCGCAAGGGCTGGATCTGCTGGTACAGTTGGCAGATGCGAAGAAGGCCAAGCTGCTTGACACGTTGGAAGAACTGCGAAGCTGCAGAGGTGTGATGCCTATCCGTTTGTTGCGGTATGCAGTCGGAGTTCTTGGATGGCTTTCATCAGCAGTGCCAGCAGCTCGCCCATGGTTGTCAATGATTTGGGCGGCCATCACTGGAGCACGTGAGCCAGTGAAGGAGAGCACACGTCGTCGAAAAGGTCTCATCTTTGTGCGTCAAGTCGACAATGCCCTACGCTGGCTGCATGCATTGTTGCACCTGCATCACAATTGGGTGGGCTTATACAAGGTGCACAAATGGAGACCTTATGCAGCCACAGCTTTGGTGCAGACTGATGCCTCACCCTTTGGCATTGGAGGAGTCCTGATGGTCTCAGGGCAGACAGTGTCATATTTTGGTGAAGAGCTGCAGACCACCGACTTCAGCTTGTTTGGCTCTGAACGGGGAGATCCAGCATACCAGTCAGAGTACGAGTTGCTGGCGGTCTTGGTGGCCCTGCGAGTGTTTGCCCGAAAGATCTCTCAAATTGGGGCCCTGCGAGTGGTGCTGCGAGGTGACAACACGTCCACCTTGCACGCAGCATTGACTTACAAAGCAGGTAGTCCCATCATGACACAGCTGGCGGCTGAGATCTTTTTGGAGGTGGAACACCAAGGCTTAGTGGCCATCGTTCCACAGCATTTACCTGGCACGTTGAACGTGATTCCTGACAAGCTTAGTCGGCTGCATGTGGAAGAAGTGCCGTGGCAATTGGCAAATGTGCAGAGGCTGAAGGTCCCGAAAAGGGACATGAACTTTTACCGCGCATGGCCGAATAGGTCGTGAAGAAAAGGACGCTCCCTGTTTCAGTTTTGGCGACAAGGTCAGATGGCTAGATGGGGGCCAAAACTGCTGGAAACCTTGTCTAGAGCTTTCTGGTAAGTTTTCAGTTTGCGTATCCTAACAAGAGTCGGCTTAGTTGGCCTTACAGAGGAGGGCCCTTAGTTGGGGCCCTCCTCTAGCTCAAGCAGCTTTGTTGGCTGCTGGAGCCTTCCCTTTGGCTTAGTTGGCCGATCAGACGGCTTAGTGGGCTGTCTGGTCTACTGTTTAGGCCTTTGTTGAGTAAGAGCGATCATCGGACTGTTAGCCAGGCATGCTCAAAAACTGGACGCGTAACCCTTATGGCAAGGGTGCACGTGCTCCGTGGGTCCCACCGGAGGCTGTTGAAGAGTTGCCACCGGGGGTGATCGCCGCTCGAGCTCGTTTGGGATGGCCCTCCAAATCGGAGGAATCAGCGAGGTCGAGGACACCAGACCGAAGTCGAGATAGGAGCCCTTTGAAGGGGACGATTGCATGCCAAGTAATTAGTGCATCTGAAGTGTGCCAACTAAAGAAGTCGGAGAAGTTTCAGTTTGAGGAGTGTCGCCTGGTACTTCACAGTGGTGAGGTGCTGACGAAGACTAGGCAAGATGCTCCGTGGACTCCGACGGTCGGGAGAAGCGGGGCTCGCCGTGGTCAGTTGCACCTGGCTAGGGAGATATCAAAAGACGATAGAAAGCGGCAGGAAGCGCTGCAGGCCTATGATGCTTTGGTGTTTGCTGCCGGTACCAATCTCTCCAAGGAGTCTCTCTTTAGCACGTGGTGCAAGATTAGTCGGGCACGAGGGGAAGAGCCGCTGCCGTTAGATCCTGAGAAGATTCGCCTCAATGTGGCAATTTTGCGATGCTCTGGTTATCGTGCGGTCAAGAGTTATGTGTATGAAGCTCGTGATCGACATGTGAGAGCCGGGTTTCCGGTTTCGCCCCAACTCAATGTGGCCGTCCAGGATGCCAAGAGGGTGGCAGAAAGGGCTTTGGGTCCGGTTCAAAGAGCTGAAGAGGTCAAACCGGCCTGGTGGAATGGCTTCATGGAGGAGCACGGCGTGATGGTCGAGGATAACGAGGCCAGTCAGGAGACCCCAAACGCTGGCCTTCTGACCTGGGTGGTTGGTACGCTCTTTGTATTGCGTGAGGTTGAGCTGAGTGGCCTCACTTTGGATGCGAGGTGTGTCCAACTGGAGACCAAAGACAAAGTGGTGACCCTGTCTTTGCCAGTCAGTAAAAGTGACCCCGGAGGGCGGGGAGCGAAACGCTCTTTGGGATGCACTTGCAAAGGAAGAAATGACTTCTTTTGCCCTTTTCACGTCGTAGAGCGAATTGTGCAAGAGCAATGCTGTAGACTGCACGTGAATGACAGAGGCGGGCTGACAGACAAGCTACCACTGATCGGGCAACGAGGCGACCCAAGGTACTTTGTCGACAAAAGAACTATGGTGACCGAAGCTCAGAGACACGTCGAATTGATGCAAGATGCTGGATTTGCAAAGGAATGTGACAGAACCCGAATCACGGGACACTTCATGAGAAGGAGCGGCATCAAGGAGATGGCTAGGAATGGCTGTGCATTCTCTTCGATCCAGTGGTTTGCGCGCCACTCCAGTCAAGTCACTTGGGCTTACATCGAAGAGGCATGGAGTGAGACACCTGCACACGCGCTGAAGCTCAAAGACGAAATTGAGCTGGCCGAGAGTGTAGCCTTTCTGCTCAGGAAAGTGAATCGATTGGAGGAAGCAGAAGACATGAGAGCGGATGAGGTTAAGCAAGGGCTCCAGAATGATGGCCTGTGGTTTGATAGTGAGGACGCAAGAAGAGCTATCAGAGAGGAAGCACGAAAGGCCCTGTCACCTAAGTTTATAGTGAACGTTAATTCACAGACGATCCACGCTCCCTGTCACAGAATGGCTGTCAACACCGATCCAAGAAAATGGACCACCAAATGTGGATGGCCTTGGGTAAGCGGTG